AATGCAATCTAATCAGTCCCAAAACGTTGCACAGATCCCACCACAACCACCCGTCAATACCCACTCGTCGCTTCACGCGCTCAGGGCAAAGTGGAGGAGCGGAACGCTGGCTACTGGCGAATCGCCACAACGCTTGACCAAGAGATCCCTCCTGCCTGGGTAACCCATGCTTCGAGGAAACGCGCCAAGCGTGCGAAGGCGGCGGCGGCGGCGGCGGCGGCAGCGGCGGCAGCGGCGGCATCAATGCAGGAATTCGAGGAGGACGGCGAGCAACCTTCACCGCCCGTGCCACGGCTGCCGGGGGGAAGGGGAGGGCTGCCAGCGCCCCCGGAGGGGCCCTTCGGAGATCGCGTGGACCGCGTGTTCTTTTTCGGAGATCTCAACTACAGAGTCGATCTTTCGCGGGAGGACCTGGAGCTCGGGGTTGTTTCGATTTGTAGCCGGCGGCGGGCAGCCGAGGGGACGGGAGCGGGGAAGGGAGAAAGAGAGGCGGGCGGTAGATTCAGACCAGGTGGGGCACAAAGGCAGCGGATAATAGAGAGAGCTGAGCGACAAACTTGACACGTTTTCGTCGTTGTCGTCTTGTCTTATTACTCTTGCTTCGGGTTGTGGATGTTATGAATTGCTGGAAACGCACCTGGGAAATAGCTACCGGCACTTGGTGGCCACCGGCGCTAACATGGGAAGAATATCTTCGTCGTCGTTTTCGTCCTCCGCACTTCGATACCAAGGTCGTGATGTTTTGCGCGCGATCGTACACATGCGCGAAGACGGAAGCTCCCTAGAATTTTGCGCACGAAGGCCACTTGGTTTTTCCGCCTACTTAGGATATAGTCTGTGAGCTTCTGAATGTGTACGCTTACGAAAATAAAGACAGACGTTTTCACTTTAGCACTAAGCTCTTCGCAGTGGCATCTTGACGATCATTCGCCTCGCGTGCGCACGTCGTGAGAGAAGCCCCTTATTGTTTTACCCGTGCTGCTACTGCTGCTACTGTGTTTTTCCCCACCGGGTGAAGCTATACGCGAGGCATGTAGTCACATTCGTTTTGTGCGTGCCGCTGTCCTGGTCCCTTTCGTCGTAGGCATCACGTACCCGGGGATGGGGGACCTGGACCCCCTCTTGGACTTCGACCAGCTAACGCTAGCGCGGAGCCGGGGCGCCGCCTTCAAGGGATTATCGGAAGCGCGTGTGACGTTCGAGCCAAGCTACAAGTACGATAAGGTGCGTTCTGAGGGAGCCTTTGATGCCAAATATCAGGTACGATCTGAAGGTTGTATGCGTGTAATATTTGTACCGGACGGGGGAATGAGGGGTGGGATTGAAGACACGGGGACAAGAAGGGATGCAGAGAGAGAACGCGCGAGGGAGGGGCAGAGTTATACACAGAGGGACGAGCAGGGGCGGGGGTGGGGGGTAGAGAGGGCAAAAGCGGGAGAGATAGAGACAAACCCATGCTTGTTTCGTACGTGCTACTGTAGACCGCAGGAGTACAACAGAATACCGAAGGTGTGAGAAGAAACGACATGGCCAGAGCCAGTGGGGTTCTGTATCTGCAAGTTCGAAGCGTATAACGTATCTATGCACACTTACAGCTGAAATAACCTTTTGCAGGGGCTGGCACTCTCAACAGACGCACTCTTTTCCAAGCACTTGCTCTCGTGTGTTTTCAGTCCGAAAAAATGCCTCTTTTTTTGTTGCCGTCCATTTTCCACAGGGGTCCCAGCATTTCGACACCTCGCGCAAGATGCGCCCCCCCGCGTGGACAGATCGCATTCTCTTCTCCCCTGCGGGGCCTCTCGGAGTGTCACCTCTCGCATACACGAGTGTCCCAGGCTCTTGCCACAGCGACCACCGACCCGTTTACGCGAAATTCAGGGTCCGATTGTCCGACTGAATCGAGCCAGTGAACAAATGTGTTCTGGTACATACACGTGTTTTTACCAAATAGGAACGCGAGATCAATGACTTGTTGGGTAGACCCTAAATCCACCTTTTTGATTTACCAGGCGTAGTTTGTCGACCGCTTGGATGGAATAGTCGACTCAAAACTGTGTAGACTAGTGGTTCAGATGTCGTGGTTCAGTCATGAGCACCTGCATGATGGCGGGCATCGATTGCGACGTTGCTGATAGCTTCAGGCCAGACACACGGCTGTTCAACGCCGCAGCTTGTCTAATCCTGTGGGGTCGAACGCCGCAGTTTGTCTAGTCCCGTGGGAAGTCGTCCGTTCTCTTGTCATACCTTGATGGTGGTGCATCCGATGTGCGCAGCTGGGAGAGGGGGGAGTGGGTTGGCGAGGGGGG